TGTATAAAAAAGAGCGAAGGGGCTCAAGGGAGACATGAATGTGTTAATGAGAGGTTGAAAGAGACGGATGTGGAGAGAAAACTGTAAGACAAAATAAGAAATCTATCAACAGAGGAAGTGCTGATTAATGATTGATTGTTTACTTTTGGATCTGTTTTCACTGCCTCACTCATGAATCTCTTTGATTTTTATTTCTTCATTTTTCTCTCACTACTGTGTTTCTCACTCTTCCACCCGCTGTGTCTCCGTCAATACAACACTTTGTTAAACACAGAAGCAAATAGCCTACTCGAGTAAAGACATCAAATGCTGTTTGTTTTTCCCTCAGGGGAGCTACCTATTGATCCATTATGAGGACATGTGGTGATAGCACTTTGTCGCTCTGCATGACACCAGACCTGAAAAACAGTCAATGGTTTGAGCAGCAATAGGTATCGCTAAAGGTTTAAAACAAGTCGGAACTATTTCAAGCCCTATGGATTTTTTTTCTAATCTACAAGACTTATTTTTCATGAAGATGGCTTTATCTCATGGGTTTCTGTTATCCGGTTATTACCAGTCCAACATATTTAAATCTCTCTGGTCATAACTGTGGTGAAAAGTTAACAATCTAAGTTATTCTTTATAGAGCCTGCCTTTCAATTTTCTCAATAAACAGATCATTTACTGGAGGTCCTTCAATTAGTCTGAACATTGAAGACTTCTGTGACACATTGACGTAATTATAGGAAACCCTGGATGTGCTAATAATTCAAACAGTTTAATGAAAGACAACGAGCCAAATTCAACAAACTGTTATTGAAATACTATTAATGCTACAGCCAAAGGGCCAACCCCAAACCTTCTTAGCTTGCGTCCTCTTCACATGAAAAATCCCTATTGTCTAATTATGACTCATCGCAATGGGTCCTGGTTGTAAATGTGTGGGAGTTATCAAGCCAATCAACAAGTGATTCAGTCACTTTGAAAGGCTCACAGAGGTAACATTAGACAGTAATAGATAATGAAAAAACATATATTCGAGGAATTTCACAACCTTTTTTCCTTTTAGAATTATATTTTGACCACTTAGAGTTTTTAACTAAATAAATAACTGAACTCATTCCTTAATATGTCTGTGTCCAATAAAGTAGCGTTTTCTCACGTATCTGTGGCAACAAGCTTTGTTGACAGAACCACTGCAAAATCCCAGTCTGCTACCACTTAACAAATATGTGACACCACACCATCACACCCACATTTCATACAGGCGTTATCTATCCTGTAATGGATAGCCATCTAGATGCTTCCACCATGATTTATGACAACTGCTTAGAGGCAGAGGGTGACGAGAAGAGCGACATCAATACAAATAAAAAGGTAGAGACACAAATGGAAGGCTGCACACACACACACACACACACACACACACACACACACACACACACACACACACACACACACACACACACACACACACACACACACACACACACACACACTTGGTCTCCAATCAGGCTACGGCTGGAAGTCCTGCTGCAGGAGGAAATTAGTTTTGTTCTCTGGAGGCTCAGAGAAAGAGAGACAGAAGGAACGAAGGCAAGAAGGAAAGAAAGAAAGACTTCTACTCGAAGAGCTTTGTATCACTGTCCTGCTTGAGGCAAAGTTGGCAGTATATTTGAAAGGAGGACAGAAGATTTGTCACTCACTCCCACTTTGTTCTCTTTCTTTCCCATCCTCTCTTTATCTATCCCTATTACGCGTACACACACACACACACACACACACACACACACACACACACACACACACACACACACACACACACACACACACACACACACACACACACACACACACTCACTGCCATCTGTGCTTCCTTGAGGAGCAGTAAACCCACATTTCCCTCCCCCCAAAAAATGCAAACGACAGCGATACATCTCCACAGTTTGTCAGTGTGTGTTTTGGGAGGTAGTTATATTCGCTTCTCTGGTGTCTGACGGGCACGGCTGCTGAGCTGCAGCCAAAATACTCCATTTGACCTAGATCATCTCAGCACCCAGGCTGGTGTATTCGTGATGCGTAATGTGTGTGCCTATTTGTCAGCAATATGACTACTTTTGGACTTTGCCCATAATGATGTAAGAGCTCCCTCCCACATGTCCTCCCAGCTAATCATCCTGTCTGTGTCTCCTTTCATTGGATTTCTCCCTGATTAGGTATTTCTGCTTCTGTCTCTCTCACTCTCTTCCCCTGTCTTTCTGTTCCTCATTCATTTTGTTTCTTTCTTTCTCTGGAAACTAGAGCACTCACAAAGTAAATGTATGTGTGTGTGTGTGTGTGTGTGACAGAGAAATAGGCTTTATTTGTTATAGTGACATAGCCCCTTTCACACCGGCGCTTTTCCAGCTCCTGCTGGGAGCTAGAGCCTGAAAAGCGCCGGTTTTTCCTGTTCACACCGCAGCGGCGGCGCGTCATAGCTCCGGAATGCGGTTCACTTCCAGCTCCAAAAAATTGTCGGTCCAGAGCATGGATGTATAATAAGAACTGGATACAGCGTGGGAGGCGGGGCCTCATTCATTCCTATGAGAGTTGCTCATTCGCGCATGATGATAAAATGGCCCAACTTTTGAGAGAGCGAAACGTCACAGATTACCCGGCATGCCTGAGAAGTACCCGTATGTGCGCTCATAGCGCATGCGCAACTTTAACCATGCCCCCCAAAATGCTCGTTCACATCAAGCACGTCAATTTGCGTACACGTAACAGCACCGCACGTTCATGACAGCATGGTAATGTTTGTTATGATAGATTTGATATTAACGAGGCTGCAGTTAGCAGCTAGCGGGTAGCTAGTAATTATGCTAATTTACACATCAATCGTTATGTACTTTTATATTACGCTGTAACAGGATCTAGTGATATCCAAGCAACAGAGCTTCATTTAGCATGAAATAATTATTGCACTGTATATATATATATATATATATATATATATATATATATATATACACACATACACACACAGTGCAATAAGCTTCTTAGTGCAATAAGAAGCTACAGGGACGTTAATCTACGTCGGTAATATTAACTTTATTTAATACAACATTTACGGTACAAGATTTAATCATACAGCCCATGTAGTATAATATTTTACAAATGATGAATTACAGCAAACATGTGCAATATATCCATTATTACAGCTCCGTGGGCTGGCAGTAAGGCGATATGGGTCCGTTCTTATTGTGCATCCATGGGTAAAGATAAACTCATGTAGTGCTGAACACGTAACATGAACGTGCCGGGCGGCGCGGGTCCCGTGGGTTAGATGCGCGTTCATAATGCAGAGGGAAATAACTCTCAGAATAACGTTATTAGCACATTTTACAACTTGAGGAACGAATGTTTTTAATAAGGGCTATACAAGTGTTCATACTGGGTAGTTTATTTAGTTTAAAAAAAATTATCCAACGATTTACAGACCACTCTTTCCCCATGTAAGTCAATGGGAAAAAGTGTTTCCGGGCCTGGCAACCAAAAGGAAGTGTAGTACCGCCGTTTGGCCAGCACGAATATTTTCATCAGAGTCCGGCGCACTTCCTGGGGGCTTGGTCCAGAGGCAAGAGCTTCGGAGCTTCGGAGCTATGACGCGGCGTCGCTTACGTCTCTTACGTCGAGGCGTGCAGGAAACCTTACTTTGACCATCCGTTCGCTGTTATTGATCATTGTGGAGATACATGGGCTGTACAGGTTGTCATGTCCGACTATCAGAAGTAGAATCATAATGAAAAATACGCCGGTAAAATGTGCCTGTAGAAAACGGCTTAGCAAGTAGTCAGTTTAGCTTCGGTTGCTATGCTAACATCACCCATGTTATACCAGAGAAACTTTCATAACAGCGTTGTGATGCCAAACAGCGTCAATTCAGACTGACACACATTCACTTAAGGGGAACTGGGGATATGTATCAGCTGCTTGTGTGACAGTCAGACAGTGAATACTTTAGAGCCGTGTGAGCTAACCCGGAGCTAACGGGAGAATAAACTCCCGTGGAAGTGCAGCCAGCACTGCAGCGGTCGGTAAATGCCGCTGAAACACATTAATAAACAATGAACCACGGCACTCTGGAGAAAAGTATAAGGTTGGAGAAGTCGTTATTTAATTTAATCTGGCTTCGTATGATTAAAAGCAACACGACCCGACGCAGTCCCCCGGCCCGTTGTTGTTGTGGGAGAAAATCAGCGACGTAAACTGTGACGTCATGACGCAGCAGCGGCAGCTCTGGGCAGTGTGAACAGAGCGGGAGCTGAAAAGGGAAACGGGAGCTGAACCAGAAAAGCTCTCGCGAGGAGCTAGAAAGTGAAAAGCGCCGGTGTGAAAGCCGCAATATATTGGTGCCCTTGTGCTTCACATGTTAACCTTACAATGTAATTTCCTCCAATAAGAGGCATGTCAGCTGTTCACCACACACTCACTCACTTACTCACTCACTCACTCACTCACTCAGTTTTCTTAATTCAACCACTAGTGTTAAATCCTATAGGTGCTGGCACTATGAAAAGTCCACAGACAAAACACCTGCCAGAGGCTTCCTTTTATAATAGAGGCTCTCTCAAACAAACAGGGACTCTGAAAGCTGTAATGGAGATCAGATAAGGTGTAAGCGTTTGCTTCTGGCAGGATTTTACCGAGCAGTAAAAACTTCCATTGAGTCACCCTCATTATTCAACCTTCAGTTACAATAGACAAAAACAAATCACAAAGACAATTCCCACATATTTCCACCTCCATCTTGATGGAATGACGTCTGAAAAGCATCAAATGCCCAAATGAGTTCTCTAAATGTCTTGTGCAGCATAATTATAAATACTTTGCAATGATCAAATGATTTCACTACATATTCGGGGGATATTATGCAAATGTTGATTTGATTGTGAAACAGCAGAGCAGGTATTTTTATTTCTCACGTTAAATCGATGGAGTTAACGTTAATGCTTTGTCTCCCTTTGTGTTTCTTGCAGTGATGGATGGGCCGACCGGTATGATGTAACAGATGGTTTTGTTAGGGAAGCAGCGGGTGGCATTACCATCAAGCTCCAGTCGGCTGATGTGAAATGGTTTGATGATTACTACCTTAAACTTCGTCCTGAAAACAACCCCAGAAACCCCTGGTTTCCGGAGTTCTGGCAGCATCGTTTCCACTGTCGACTTAAAGGTCACCCGCAGGAGAACAACAAATTCAACCGCACCTGTGGCAGTGAGTACAGACGCAAAACACAAACAAGGACAGTGGACAAAGGGTTTCTGAGTTACAGCTGTACTGTACTTCTGTTGACCACAGCCATCTGTGATACAGAGGGAGAGAGGCTGCATCAACATAACAGGCTACATTAACAATCTGCATTTTTATAGGCTTTCATAATGGCCACTATTAATGCAAATAACATTAGAACAGACCTGCTGAACGCACACGCACCTTATGGTTAAACACAGCTTTCAGGTTTATCTGGAGATATCCCTTGTGGCTGAGTGCACCCTCTCTTTATGTCTTTGTATTCGTCACCCCCCCATCTTTCTCTCTCCCTTTCAATCCCTCCATTCATAGGCAAAACTGCGTGTGAGAGCTGCATCAAAGGAAGTTATGTCTCATGTATTCTAATGAAACGGGATGTGAAATACAAATGAACAGGACACAGAAAGAGGCAGACAGAAATGAGATGTGGAGGTGGGAGGTGTCCGATGAGAAAGGAATGAGAGTGGTCTTTGATGTCAGGAGGGGAAAAAAAAGCACACTGATTTTCATTTAACTAGAAGGGAAATTAAGGGTTTCTCTGATATACCTGCCTCTTTTATCCATCCTTCCTCACCCACCAACCTCCCCTCTCCCCTCCCATTTTGTTGCAGAGCGAGAGTCGCTTCGGCAGCAGTATGCACAGGACACCAAGATGGGGTTTGTCATAAATGCCATCTACTCGATGGCATATGGCCTGCATAACATGCAACGGGCACTCTGCCCAGGCTATCAGGTAGGTACTGCTCTGATAGATGAGTGGGGGGACAGACTAGGACAAAGCAAGGAAACAAAGAAGGGAGAGGAAGGGGTGAAATGGACAATGGTGGGGGGGGAGAAAGGAACTAGCTGGGTGTTGCTGAATTATTACACACATCAGCCATTTTTGACCAATTGTCAGACTCCATACATCTACACATAACCTGGAAAATGCAAGATATGAACCTGGATGATCACATAAACTATACTGTATGTTTAGATATAAACAATTTTAGCTAACAAAGAAAAAATACATCAGTGCTGCTTATCCTTGAATTTGGCCATAATAGACTAACCCTTCTGAGAGCTACTTGAGATTTTTTCCTTGCAGACATGGTTATTGAAATGTAATATTTCAGACAAAATTTTGACTAAATGACATGATCCAGCTTGGCACTTATTAGCCTGAATGTGACAGTCATGGAAGAAACCCTGCTACTCTATACTTTTCAATTTTCATAAAACTCCATGGGATGATTCACCTTCTATGCAAGTCTTTGTATTGACTCAAATGTATCATTATGTTAATGTGTTAATCCAAGTGGCCAATAATCATGTTTTGAGTAATATGTTACTGTTAATATGCTTTTCCATTCAGTTCTTGAAATGTTAATTAAATCAACAGGAATGTCCATTGATCAACATTACTTCTGTGCACACACAAATCCATCTATTCCATGAACGATGTTTGTTAAGCTGTGGGTCATTTTTGTTGGATATGACATGATTGCTTATGTATTTTAAAGGGCCTGTGTGATGCCATGCGACCTATAGATGGTTCTATGCTGCTGGACTTCTTGATGAAAACCAACTTCACCGGAGTGTCAGGAGAGGGAATCTTATTTGATAAGAATGGAGACTCACCTGGCAGGTACGCGGTTAATCCCATTGATTTATTTTGTGTCGGGCCTTTTGGCTTGCTGGGTATGACACGACATGTGGGTGTTAATGTGTTGACTGAAACCTGTATGTGAAACTTTCCATCCACAGGTACGAAATAATGAACTTCAAGAAGATGGGGAAGGACTACTATGACTATATTAATGTTGGCAGTTGGGACAACAGAGGCTTGAAGATAGATGATGATGAAATCTGGCCCAACAAGGAAGGCGTAATCAAGTCAGTCTGCAGTGAACCCTGTGACAAAGCACAGATAAAGGTAAGAAAGCGCAAACTTTGCTAAGGTAACTGCAGGCAATACTGTGAATCCAGCACTCTGCCTTGGAGCTTTACCATACACAATACATTGTCTTTGTTGGAATAGATTACACATATATTTGACTACCTATTTCAAATGAATTAAAATGACATTAAATGAAATCGTCATAATGAATAATAAAAGACTCCATGTAATACAGTGGCTGGTGCACGAGGGTTCCCAGCGTGTACAAAGGTACTGAAGACATTGTGCATCTGTCCCTTCCAGGTGATCCGTAAAGGGGAGGTGAGCTGCTGCTGGACGTGCACTCCCTGTAAAGAAAATGAGTTTGTGTTCGACGAGTACACCTGCCGAGCCTGTGAACTGGGCTCCTGGCCGACCTTTGACCTCACAGGTCAGTCTCTGTGTGTGTTTCTGCATGTCTATTCATAACATCCAAGTGCTAACGCAGAGAAATATTTACTTGGCAAAGAGAATACTTGAATAGAAATGGTGCCATGAGCACATGAAGCGACATTATTTGCACGTGCTGCTGCATGGAAATACTGTAATTATTTGCAGTAGACGTGATGCCGCCTAAACGGAGCCATGCAATGACCAGTGATGTGTGTGTGTGTGTGTGTGTGCAAGATTGTGTATAGGGTCAGAGAATAAAAGATGCTAAGTAGAATTAGATGATAAAGTGGTGTTTTCCCTTATCACTGCATATTGTACACTAAGTTATGCACCAGTTACAAAAGCTCTTTCCTCTCTTATCCCTTCCCCTCTAGTCCCTCTTCCTCATCCCTTTAATTTGTTACCAACATGGTCGAATGTTTTAATTATTCTGCATCAAGAGCAGCTTTCACTGCTCTTCAGTTGCCATGAAAATAAATGTCCCCTCCATTGCGTACGAAGCGTCTGAATATTGCCTTGTTATGCTTTCAGCTGCTCATTATACCGCTTGCTATCTGATCACCATGCTCCATGATTAAAACATGAATCGAGCCCTGCTGAAAATTCAGATTGAGCTTCACTGCCAGAAAGAGAAGCATCCTTAAACTAAAACAGAGAGCCAACCGGTGAGAAAATTGACAGTGAAAAAAGAACGGAGATAAAGAAATGAGAGAGTGATTGAGGTTAACAGTTTATTACATTGTGTGTGTGCCTCATTTCATTAACAATAAGTGCTGCTTGTGGGGCTATATGGAACAGTAATAATGAGGTGTAAACAAACTGCTTGCCCTGTTCCTACAGCATACATTTTGATCTCTCTCTCCCTCAGGCCAAAGGAACGAGAGAGAGAGAGAGAGAGGCAGACAGAACAGAGCAGATAGAGCAAGGACTCAGCTGGCAGGGACAGATGTGCAGTGTTTGTGAAAACCATAAAAAGCATTGGAGAGTTTTGGCGACAGCAATTGAGCAAAAACAAGAAAAAAAGATGGAGGGAAAAGTGACTTATGAACATAAAGAGAAGAACAAAGTGAATCTAAAAGAGAGAGAGAGAGAGAGATGGAGATGAATGGAGGCTCTGACAGAATCAGCAGCCAGGGAGTTTGAAAGGAGCAGAAAAAGGAGGATTAGCTTTGGGATTTGAGCCTCTTCACTGATCGGTAAAGTTCCACAGTTTGAGTCTGAGAGGAGTTTGCCTCAAAACTTTTTATTGACTGAACCCTCCAAACTGTCTCCCTCCCTTTTGTAATGCACCAGTTTGGCTTAGGGTCAAACACAACAGGATTTCCTGAAGGTTCGTGAACTAATTAAGTATTAAAATCCACTAGCCGATGCTTTTCGACTGCTCTGAGAAAACCCTTGAGGAAAACACTGTTCTGGGATTTTCGGCCCTAACATCAAGATCTATGTGGGCAGGATTAATTGGAGCTAAATTCTCAGCAAGTTTCCTCCTTTACATTTTCACGGATGGGTGGTCCTCACAGCTCATTGTTAGGCAGGACAGAGTGTAGCCCTTGACTCTTAAATATGGTTTATATTAAAGTACTAACAAAGCACTGAAACATAATGTTGAACAGTAACATTTACATACAAGTCATTCCTTAAATAAAAAGTGTAATGAAGGAAGTCGGGGTGTAAAAGGGGCATTGTGGCTGAAGTGATCCCATTGCAATATTGTATCAAATAAAGACATGCAGAACATAAACCATACGTAATCACAAGAAAATCATGTGCCCCTTTTACACCCCGACTTCCTTCATTACTTTGTCTTGATTTTTTGATTTTAGCCTGTCAAGATTTATGACTGCATTTTTCACGTTTGTAACCAAAATCTGACCACAGACAAAAAAATAATAAATAACAACAAATAAAATATCTGGTATCAAACTAGTTATTCGCAATGATGACACACACAGACTCAAACAAGTAAATACAATACCAACTGCGCTGTCACAGATGGAAATCGTAGTATGGATTATTCTATTTTGCACACACTGCATTCAATACTTCACACTGTGTTTGAGATTACATAGATTTCATCCGGTCTTAAATGGCTTTTCAGTATTAAAAGCCTGCAAGTGAGCCACATCCTCTGCAGGGTGGTTGAATTAATTTCTGTCGGTTTGTTTCCATCCCCTTGGCTCCCTAACCATTAGGGCTGTTGTTTATGTCCCAAGACCTAACCACTTCACTGATTTGATAAACGTTATTGACCGTGTTAAAAACAATCTCATTAAATTACTTAAATCTTGTGTCGTGCCTCTTTAACTTTCTCTGAGATGTGCAGTATTGTACAAACAGGTGTGTGTACATGCCTGCATGTGTATTTGTCTGTGAGAGGGACAAAGAGAGACAGTAAGGCGGAGAGGAAACAAGTGAAGATGTACATGGACAGAAGATTTAGAGAAAGTCTACGTGCGTCTCTGCTGCTACATAATGTCTAGACCAACCAGCCAGATAATTTGGGCAAGAATTAAGATGGTTCATAATTAGAACTGTCCCTATAATTAATGACACTTTTATCTCCTTGCCTAGGAGGGAGGCATAGATGAAGGGAGGGAGAGAATTAGGGAGGAAGAAGAGAGGGATGAGGATCAAGGGAGATAATGGGTGGAGGAAAGAGAGGGACAGAATGATGGATAAGCCTTTACAACAAAAAAAGAACGACAGGAAATTGAGACAATGATTGAATGACAAGGGAATGAGAAGAAGGGAGAAATAGACACAGAGTGAGGGATAGGAAAGAAAGTGTGGACAACTGAGGTCTGTTGTAAGGTCAAATGATGATGTGAAAAAGGGTAAGGGTTCAAAGTGAAACCTTCAATTAGAGAGCAAAAGTTTATTATGATCAACATATGCTGAATAATATATTTGTGTTCTAATTGCGGATTCCTTCCAAAATAATAACAACTAAATATATATAAAAGGAAAATGAAAGTTAAATGAATTAAGAGTTATGAAATAATGGCAATCTTACCTAAAGATCAAGATCTGCTAGCTGGGCTTTACCAACATCAGCTGCTACATTGTACTGCCATGTGGTTAATGCTTGTATATGCTGCTCATGCTCTTTCTGAATATCATGTATTTATTTTTGCTATGTATATAAATGTCATGTTCTTAAATGTTGTATGTGAGGGACTACGGATGGAAATTAGCTCAAAGCTAAAATCTGGCATGTTTACGTTTTAAAGCATTATTTGTTTTAAATGTGCATCAATGTCCCTCTTCAAATAAACGATTAAATTAAATCAAAAAAAGTCTTAAATGAATTGTGTGTTAACTGCATCTCCCCCATTCTTCTATCCCTAGGCTGTGACCCCATCCCAGTGGAGTACCTGCGGTGGGGAGACCCTGAACCGATAGCCGCTGTGGTCTTCGCCTGCCTCGGGCTCATGTTCACATTCTTTGTCACTGCAGTCTTCATCAGGTAATAAATCTGTCATCTCTCATAGAAAATATGAAGTGAGTGGAACAATGCAAACAGAGCTATACTCGACACAAATACACACTTTACATTCACTCTTTGCACTTGGTCTTGTCTTCTTTAGATCCCTATTGGCACTAGCATAACCTTTATTCATGGGGTCCACACACTTACAGTAGAACACACAATTACACAGAATCCATACTAACACCTAAACAAACAAAACAACTCATCTCATGTAAATAACAGTCAAGTAAAATCAAGTGAAAACAAAAATGATCGTCATCAAGCCACAAACACATAAAATGTAATCATTTCAACATAAACACACACAGTTCAATTATAATTTCTGAAAAACCTATCCCAGAATATCTCTAGTGATTTTTTTCACTGTTACAGTTTTGCACGTTCTTGTCTTACCATTTTCTTACTGTGTTGTTTTGCTGTGTTTAAATTATTGTATAAATAGTGTTTTTCTGCATCTCCTGACTGACGTTTCTGCGCATATTTGTTTTTCTGAATGTGTTCAGGTTCCGGGACACCCCAGTAGTGAAATCTTCCAGTCGGGAGCTGTGCTACATCATACTGGCAGGGATCTGCATGGGGTACCTGTGTACCTTCAGCCTCATTACCAAACCCCATGTAGTCCACTGCTACCTCCAACGGCTGGGAATAGGCCTGTCACCTGCCATGAGCTACTCTGCACTCGTCACCAAGGTACTGCAAAGATTGATTTAAGGATTTGTGAAATGAGTACAAGATGTAGGGTGAAGCAGTTGAAGGGCTAAAGGAATTACCTCTAAGGTCTTGGAGTACCCCTGTCATTAGATTCACTAGTGAGGTGGCAATTCTGAACAAGATGATAGCTTGGCCGCCTGAAGTGCTGTTTGAGAACCGCTCGTGGCTTTTTGAGTCCAGGGAGGTGTTTGGTTCTAATGTTAGTATATCCAGAATGAAACAGCAAAAGCGAACAGCAGTCAATGAGTGGCCTTGTGAAAGGGCTGCTGTTGATAATGATGATGACAAATTGCTCCAAATTCAACACAGCACGTCCTTGGGTCCCCAGCCATACACCTGGTTAGTATAAAGTAGATTGGATGATGATAACATGCTTCTGTCATCAATCTTCAATGGGTAACAGCTTGATATGTTAGAGACGGTGGACCTAATCAGAGAGAAATAGGGGCCATAGTCCCCTGATATGACAGATTGTCATTCCTTTGATGGTGGGGTTGATGTGCCGCATTAAATCAGATGCAGGGCACAGGTTCATTCTGCCCCTGTCCTGAGTCGTTTAGGGAGAAAGGGTTTTGGGAACAGGGAGTTAGGATTAGAAAATAGCAGGTGACTGCAATGGCGTTGCAATAAGAGCTTACCTTGAGTGTATGCTTTAGATTTTGACTCCTGTGTGCAATATTTATAATGTTTCTCACCTGTGTGTCTACACAAGGCCAATGGCAGCAGTGTAAGAATACAGAGAGCAGTTTGCCCTAACATGGATACAGTGTGTTCATTGCATATTTCATCAAAGGGTTCTAATGGTGTTTGCATTCTGACCCAAGACAAATCGCATCGCTCGGATTCTGGCAGGAAGCAAGAAGAAGATCTGTACAAAGAAACCTCGCTTCATGTCCGCCTGCGCTCAGCTCATCATTGCCTTCCTCCTCATACTGTTGCAGCTGGGCATCATCGTGGCTCTCTTCCTCATGGAGCCACCAGAGGTGAGCTGTCTGTGTGCCACTGTCTGTTTCTTTATTATAAGTACAAGAGTGGCTTGTTGAAAGTCATCAAAACAGGTTTACAGACAAATGAGAGTGATGGAAACATAAAGTAGATCCAGTATTACTTTAAGAAGACATCTCAAGTTGGCAGTGTAATAAATGGAAATGTTAGTTTGCTAATTTCTTCCACCATTTATCTTAATGCAGATGTTTACACACATTTGCAAACTGTTTTGTGGTAAAAAAAAAAAAAAGGCGATTGTAGTAAAAGCTCGGTTAAGCTTTTAATCACCGCCTTGTTTCTCTAATATCTAATAGGTGATCCATGACCACCCCAGCATCCGCCAGGTTAACCTCATTTGCAACACCAATAACCTGGGCGTGGTTGCCCCGCTGGGATACAATGGCCTGCTCATCCTCAGCTGCACCTTCTATGCCTTCAAGGTACCAGCTGAAATGTTTTTAACTATCTAAATTGAAGTTGCAAAAGTGTCAGAAAGCATGTTTTAAAATGTCGTTTGAAGCAAATGTTATTATTTGTAGAAACCTGCATACTACCTCAAGCTGCTTCACATGAGAGAAGTCGTGCAGACAGATTGTGAAAGCAATAATTGAACCGTTGTTTGCGCTCTACCGCTTTCCACAGCAGTAAATTGAACACTTTATGAAGTCAATGTTTGATTGTATGTTGCCTACAGCAATCCATTTTCTGCAGAGTGTGAGGGCAGAATGGCAAACAGACACAAGCTGAAACACATTGCATGCCAAGCAGACAATTTAACCGCGTTTATGAACACAGTCACAGAGAGAAAAAAAGAGTGGTATAGTTGGTGCAGATTTATTTTTGTTAGCAAAGGTACCTGGTTAGCAGTGTGTTTTCTTATAATGTAAAGGCCTTTAATCAACCCTAACAGTGTCTTTTTTGGTTTCATTTTTCCCTTATTGAAGGCATAATCCCCAAATGATTCAACAACCAAAAGCAATGTTTAAAAATGTAACTTTCTCTCTGACTCTGTCCCTCTCTCCCAGACCCGCAACGTCCCAGCTAATTTCAACGAGGCTAAGTACATTGCCTTTACCATGTACACCACCTGTATTATATGGCTGGCCTTCGTACCCATCTACTTTGGCTCTAACTACAAAATTATCACCATGTGCTTCAGTGTCAGCCTCAGTGCCACTGTGGCGCTGTGCTGCATGTTCGTACCCAAGGTAAGGCTATAGCTAAAAAACACAGTTTCTACATATATATACACTCATTTACTGATATGTCTCTATACATCTATGTATTTCATCAGTCTTCCTAAACTAAGCCTCAGAATATACAGTTTGTCTCACGGTTAGCTGTCCAAACTTTAAACACACCGGTTATTATTCTACATCAGTACACAATGTATATTTAATGATGGTATTTATAGCAACTATAGCCAAGAAATAATTAGTTTTTAACTGTATACATTGAATTTGAGATTCATCCTGCCGAAGGTTTTCATAATGTGCACACAGTACACTCTGTCCTTAGAGTGGGAATGTGCGGGCAACACTCACAGTACACACCAAGTTATTGAAAATGACTGTTCAATATCAGTTTTTAAATAATTGAGTAAGAAACTTTAAATTATATTTTCACCAACCGCACTGAAGTGAAAGGGGTTCATTTAGAATAACATCATGTTTAACTACTCCAGTAGTAGCGGGTAATCCTCTTGATGCTTCAAGGGCAACGTTGGTGCTAAAACAACAGCAGAATAACAATCATTATGAACAATTAGCTGCAGCTTCTTTTGAGGATTGTCTTTTTATAAGAGCTGTATATAAACAAGGTAAGCCATCACGGAGTTCATGACTTGACTCTCAAAAAAACAAATTACTACCAAAAACAGATGGCTTGATGTAGATATTTGCTCTTTCTTTACATTATTGAATTTAGTGGTCTCTTTTAAGAAACATTTTGCTTCATAAGGATAATGAAATAATGTTTTATTTCACAACAGGTGTACATCATTCTAGCCAAACCAGAGCGTAACGTGCGCAGTGCCTTTACCACGAGCACAGTGGTGCGCATGCACGTGGGCGACGGCAAATCTTCCTCAGCCGCCAGCCGTTCTTCGAGTCTGGTTAATCTGTGGAAACGTAAGGGCTCTACTGCAGAGAATCTCAGGTACGTCTGTGTGTGTGTGTGTGTGTGTGTCTGTTTTTGTGTGGTAGTGATTTTGTGTACACAAGGGCCTCATTCTGCAGGTTAATGCCAGGTTACTGCGTAGTTACAGTCCAAGGTACCATTTCTGTAATAGCCCCACTCTTCAGACTACTTATAGTGCGTGTGTTAGTGTGTGTGTGCTCTGGCTCTCTGGGAGATTGATTCTCTGAACTCCCCAGAGTCTGCTTGACTGTTCCTGTGACCCTTACATGAACTGTATACAATTGCCTAATAGAGACATGGCAAAGCAAGAGAGAAGTGTGCTAAGGAAGGGAGGGTGAGGAGAAAATTGTGAGGATGGGGAGAGAAAATACAAATCAGAATTGATGGTATAATCAGAGAAGAAGAAGAAATGTCCCAAGGAATACGGCTAAAATGCGGGACATAATAACATACACCCAGCTGAAGGCCATCCGCAAGCCATCTACAGTGACAGGGAACCGATCAATGGACACAAAAGGAGTGACGCACAGCCACTTGCCCAGGATGAAAAGGGAGGAAAAAGACAAGAACACATTTTCGTTTGTCAGCGTGTTACTCGAGTTCACCCCACTTGGCAAGCAAGATTTCAATCACGCTGTTATGAGAAATGTCAGGAGTTCTTCCATCCTGGCTCCTTTTTATTCCTCTCTTCCCCTCTCCCATCTCTTTTGGTCCTATCTTCCCCTGTGGGTGGTGGTAATTGGCAGGGCTGTCTCTCTCCTCGGTGCAGGGCTGGAAGCTGTTGCCTTTGAGATGCTGTCATTGTGTAGTCTGAACAGATGCAGACAGACATGAAACCAGCGAAACAGGGGGGGGGGAAGTACTTCAAAAAAATATAAGAAGATGAAATATTCGACTGATGACTCATCCAAATGTTTGAACTGTTGAAGAGTGCATGGTTTACATTCAACAGGCATTCAAATGGCTGCAATATATGTAAGATAGGATCAATCAGGCGCTCCTTTAGAATGTGCAACATGTGTTTCTGTTAGTAGCATGTCAGGCTTTGGCTTGGCTCCAAAGCGTTCTGTCCGAGACTCTTTTAGCGAGTATATCACAGCACGATGTATGTGTAGGCGCAGGTCGGCATGTGCAGCATATGGATGTGCGTGTGTGTGCGTGATACAGAGTCTATCTATGTGTGTGTCTCCCCAGGGTGACTTAGGCTCTTTTCAACGCCAGCCACGGTGGTGTGAGGTTTAATCAGAAGTTCCACTAAAGATTAATCACACTAATTAACCTGACAAAGGGATGAGAGAAAGGAAAGTGGGGGGAGGCAGGGGAGAGTGCTGTGACTGATGTGAAGTGGAGAAAATGGTAAGATGTAGGTAGAACAGAGACAGGAAGAGGGAAGCTGACAAAGACAAATGAAGAACATACTGTCGGGGAAAAATAGAATGGGAAAATTAATTGCAATGAAATTACATGCAAATGAAGTCCAACTGATTTTCTGTGATGAGTCAGGGCTTCATTTAAATATGTTTGTATCTATTAAATGACACTACTCATGTGGCATAATAAATAAGAACTAATGTAAAGCAGGCACAGTTAATGCAATGTTTCTGCTATGTTTATTTTTGCTGTACTAGTTTTTGAATAAGTGACGCAAGCTAACAGGTTACTACTAAAAGGTATTCTTTTAGATTTGTTATCCATATAAACAAGAAATTATAATGAACAATGTGATTCTTAAACAAATATGAGCAGAATATTTAAAAAAAGCTACCATATCTATTCTGAAGAAAGTGTACAGTAAATGATGTTGTCTCAGTATGTTAATGCCAACACTCATTTGCAAGACAAAAGGTAGAGCAGTGGGAAGAAGTAGTTTTTTTTCTAAAAGTTTTTTAGAATATAATGTTCAGTGATCACCTGTTGTCAATTGCAACGTAAAACACAGACATGCAAATCCAAAATGTACTTTTTTATGTATCTAAACTGAATAAGATAGAAGTGAGTGCACCTTCTTATTTATATCATCAATAATCAGAAATGAAGTTTGTTTAATCAAAAACCAATTATATTTATTACGTTAACATCAAAACAATCAATGAGCTGCTAATTAACTGACGACTGTAAATCTACCTTGAAGCTCTAGAAACAGACCCTCTTTCTCTCTTTCCCCTGCTGCCCTCCAGCTCCAACGGTAAATCAGTGTCTTGGGCGCAGACGGAGCGCAGCAGTAACCGCGGAAACCACCTGTGGCAACGGCTGTCCTTCCACATCAAGAAGAAGGAGAACAACCAGACGGCCGTCATCAAGCCCTTCTCCAAAACCTCCGAGGAGCGTTACTTTGGGGGGGGTGACCTGCCCCCACACATGCCTCTGCCCTCCCTCCCCTCCATGTCTTCCCTGTCCATTCACCAGGACTCTGTCACCGACAAGACCCTGTACGAGCTCTCTGAGGCGGAGGAGCGCTACTCGAACACGTACCTGCCGCAGACGCCCTCGCCCATCAGCACCATCAGCCAGAGACTAGGGGCCGGAGTCGGGGACGATCACTCGATGACTGGCGTTCCTAACTACCCGAGCAGCATCTGCAGCGGGGGGAGCGTGAGCAGCGGGGGGGGCAGCAGTTGCGGTCCTGGCAGCAGTTGCGATCCTGCCAGCAGCGGCTCTCTGGTGGTGGGGAGTGACGGGCGTCTGATTGTTCTGGACAATTACCCAGCACCGCATCCCAGCTCCCTGATGGATCAGATCAGCTGCGTGGTGAACCGCTTCACCGCCAACATCACGGAGCTCAACAGCATGATGTTGTGCTCTTCTCCGACGCACTCGCACTCCAACAAGCAGTCCCCCCCCCTCTCCTCAACCCGCCGACCCCTATCTGTTGCCCCGGGAGGTCCCGATGGCCCCGACCCTCACCACCCATGCTGACGTCCAGCCCCTCCCCCCCGTCGAGACCAGCATGGCGGGCCGGAGCGGATGTCCGGTTCACTCCATTCCTCACTCACCTTACCCCCTGCCGCCTCACATTGGCCAGGCCTCCCCCTCTCTCTCCCCCATGCGAGGAGGCCTCATCCCCTGCCTCACCCACTCCCCTCTGAGGAGGGCCGAGTTGGAAGAGGAGCTTTTTGCTTTGACTCCGCCGTCCCCCTTCCGCGATTCCCTGGGATCTAGCAGTGGCTCGCTCATCTCAGAGACAGGCCTGTGTCTCCCCCCAGCCCCCTCCCATCCTCCCCCCTCCCCCCCTTCGCCCAGGTACAGTAGACTGACACTCAGAAACTACAGCCAGAGTTCATCCTCACTGTGAGGCAGAGTTTTCATGTGAAGAAAACGCAGATTTGAAGAGGAGCGCTCAAAAAACGACACGGTTGATATGAGTGAAGAGTATTGGAGGATGGAAACACTGAAATCCATCCGTCCTTACGTGAAACTAGAAGTAAAGGAGTCGTGGTAAAGGATTCGTGAACAGCTGGTTGATGAGGACACCAAGCTGCGGCAGTGTTTGTGTTTACATGTTTGCATTGAGATGCAAGTATGAGAAGCTTGCCCACGTCGTATTTTCTTAGTGCAGTTTATCAAAAGTGGGGCGTGAAGAGTTGCAAAAAAAAGGGCCACAATGACTTTGAGATGTTTTAGTGTCTGTAAAGTCAAAAATCATTCTTGAAGTTCTAGAGCATAGATTGTATATAAGAAGTGGTAAACTTGGTTTGTGGACTAACGTGTGGAAGCCTTGAGTACTGCATCTTGGCCGTCATCATCTTGTGTTTTTTGGAGTAAAAGGTGAGCATTTTGGACAAGAGGGTAACACATTGTTATGTCTCTACCCTGATCGACAGGTCGCCCTAAAGCATTTACTCAAAATGGGACCATCATTTAGAAACTCAATATCGTACCTTAATGAGCAAGACCTCAAATTAGCGACTCAAATCATTAGGATTAGGGTCATATTCTAAAAGACTTCTATACAATTGCAATGATTTATTATTTCGAAGACTTTGACCCCTGCTGTATATTAGAAATTGAGAAGGTTTCTAGGCTCCTTTGCATTGGCTTCACCTTTCAGACCCAAAAAGCTACATCCACTTGTTGTGTACAGTCTATGGTTTAGAGCTACATATATGTTAGGTTTGGGTAGTGGCCTTAAGGTTCTATGGCTATCAACTAATTAGTGAGGAGTGTGTGTCTGTGTGTGTGTGTGTGTGTGTGTGTGTGTGTGTGTGTGTGTGTCTGTGTGAGTGTGCTGTGTGTGCATGAGTATGTTTAATGGTGAGATTAAACTCTTAAAGCATGTACGTACAAAACAAAGGCTATTTGCTGACACACACACACACACACACACACACACACACATAGGCGTGAGCAAACATATACGCATACAATTTAAGGGAAAAAAAACTGTAAATATACGAGAAGATATGGATGTTTCTTGGTAAAGAAAATCGTACATGTTTCTGACAAGTGCAACGTGTTAACATACCAGACTGTGTGTTACTCTGAAGAACAGAGCTTTTTTTTTTATTCATCCAGCTCTCCAATCTGTTCCCCTTACATTGCTTTTTTCTCCTCTCCTCTTTCTCCTGCTGCTTTCTTTTGTCCCGCCAGTAATTTAGTATTTTCTACTCTTCCAGTTTGTTTTCCTCAGAAGTTTTGAATGTATATTTTCTAAATGATTCCTGGAGCAGTTGGGACCAAACCTTTTGTACCTCCCTGTCTGTGACTCGAGAAAGAGCGAGAGGAGGGATTGACAGGACCAGGCCTTGTTTGAACATAAACATCTTAGTCATAAACTCTTGGATTATTACCAAATATGACTTAGTAGTTTATAGTTAGTGTATGACATTTGACAAGGTAACATTTATCATTTGGATCCCAGTCGTGACATTTTCTCTAAACGATCTGTCAGCAGGACATAATGGGGACAGTGCTTTGAACGAGACTAACTGGAATTGCTAACATCTCGTGTGTTAGCGGCCACAGTTTGATAGATTCAAGCTGGGAGACCTTCTACCAGGGTCATCTCTTGCACATCTGAAAATACTTTTTTAGTTTTCTCCACTCTTGTCAGACAAATAGGTGCAGAACAGCAAAAGAGGACGTACTTGAGAGCTGTATCGATTTTCTCCTCGCTCAGAAAAGAGAGAAATAAAAAATGTCAATCTGTTGCTTTAAAGTAAGGCCTCATGAGAATTTCTCCAAAGTCAAACTAACTAATTTGGTCAAATGTTGCTAGTGACAAAATCCAAGTGGTACTTACACTTTCAATCAATTTGAGATGTTTTTCTAAAAATGTCTGTGTCGATGGATAAACAGAACCAAACTTGGAAAAGATTGCAAAACCTTAAATATCTAGTTTGGCTATTTAAGATTTGTGTTTAAACGTATGCCTTTCAACGGAATATATTGTTCTTACATGTGCCAACAGAATTTCTGAGTACCCAGAGTAGTCCTGGGATATAAAATGTGCCGATGGATGCATTCACTAAGATGCTTTTGAGAAATGGGGCCTTGGCTTCGTGACAGCTCCTCCGAAAGAAAAAAAAACGAAGGGTCAGAAGGTTGTGATACACGACACAACACAAACATTTTTCAACATTTTATACAATCTGCCGAAAGTATATCTGACTCATTTAAAATGATTGAGCTGTTTGTATCACAACAAAACGAGTTGTCCAACATGTTGCCTGTGTTTTCTCGTCCGTCTGCTGTACGATGCAGATGCAGTTCATGGTCTCATTTCTCTTGTGAGTGTAGTATTTCTGCTTTACAGTAGCCAGCAAGAACAAACTCAGAAAAAGGGATTCTGTAAATAATAAGGGCATGCAAAGACAGTTCTGTTTTGTTTCAGATGAAAGTAAATCTATTTACATATCAACAAAGGTGAAAAAAAAAAATGAAAAAAGAGATGTTTTTGAACTATGTGATGACATCATGCAGTACCAATGTGTGTTACGACTACAGAAACTGTGTTACTACTCTTAATATGTGAGTGACCATTCCTATTCAAATGTCTTGTAATTCAACAATATAATAATGATTAATATTACGATGATTATTGTGCCAAAGGGGTTAGGGAGGGTCTAGATTACTAGCTCGTGGGTAGATAAATGGTTTCATACAAAAAATTCTAAAATATAAATGTAAAACTGTTTCTATTGTTTTTGGATATTTTCTATATAAATATTCCATATTTTCCAGTGTTGAAGCAATATTTACCACACGTATACAAGGTGCACATCTGAAGGGTTTCATAAACAATGTTTTCAATTGTTCTTCTTCATCCTGCTGTAATCTCTGTGAGGGATACATTTAGTAACTCGTAACTTCCCTATTTTTGCATTGTGATCCTCTCACTTTAGACTTGTTGTTCCTCTTCTACTGCTGTGCGTTTCTGGTCCAGTCTAACTCAACTTAAAGTCAGATTACAATCCACTGAAGACATAGCCGCAGTTTGAAAGAGAGTTAAGGAGTTGTGTGTGCCATAATTGTTGCTACCCTTTTTTGCTGTCTTTATATTCTCCTGTCCTCAAAGTAACCCCAGTATGTCTCTACAACTCAGAGCAACACAACAAACTTCTGCTTGCATCGTAAATGAGGAAAAAAAACGAATTTGGTCCCATCATCAGCATCTGAGATAATTGCACATGAGAGGGTTAAAAATGTACAAAGATAAAAGCACCAAAGGAGAACTGCTGGTCCTAATTGTTGACTAAATTGGTTCTTGTCTCAAAGTGCTGTCTGTGCATCATTACCTCTAGATCTACTCATCTCATTGTAATCGTCGAGGTCCTGACCTGTTGTCAGAAAGTGAACCAGCGCTCTAGCTCAGATGCTATCGCTGAGGAGTTCCTTTGTGTGCTTCTGTCACTGGCAGTGTGGAAACATGCAGGGAGTAGAGGGAGCTTGCTTCAGCACTTCAGCTGCGTCTTATCAGCCCCTCTGGGTTAGGCTTGACAGCTCTGTGCTACCTCGGCAGAAAAAGACAGGATCACTGCTTGAATCTACTGCTGTCTAATTCTCTTTAAGGGCTCAGTTCTGCGACATCTTTTAATACAAATCAAGCGATCATTAAAAAGGAGTGCAGCAGGCTTTTTACAAAATTACAGTTTGAAAAAGCACCGAGTCATGGCCTTGTATATTTGGTGTGAAGAAATAATGCAGGCATTGACTTGATAGGTCAGCATAAAGTCACAGAGAAATAGAAATGCTATCTATTCAAGCGTTTTGACCAAATTACATTTCAGACCCTCTTTCATCTGAATCCAATCTTTTTAGTGCTTTCAACACCTGGTGAGCTTTCAAACATTTCCCTTGACAAATGCCACTAATGCTCCCTTTTTAAAATAAAAGCAAGTCAAGCCATTTTGCTTTCTGCCCTAAAACTAACCACTTAACATTTGACCTCAAGGGTTTAAAAGAGATTCCACTCATATTAATCGGGTTTAATTTCAGTTATATTTATTTCCCCTAATGTACTCGCCAAAACATGATGAGTAAAATCTTACGCTCGTCACTAAGATGATCTCCTGATTTTTTTTCTCAAAACTATGTTGTTTTACGTAAATGCACTCTAAAGAATTGGATTATTAATCCCTGCGCTCAAAAACACTTGTAATCCAGACATGCGCTGCGCATCTACTGATGGGAGGAAAACACAAACACAAGGTCATTTAGTTTACACCGTTTACTTATCATGGGGCTGCAAATGTATTTTAGTTTTGGATTGCAGAAAACAGAATCGGTTGGGAGATTGGTGGTTTACTGACGAGGGAGGCAGTTTTTCAGGCAATCAATCCCCCCCCGCCGCCCTGCCGAGTATTTGTCTGATTTGCTGCAGAAAACAGGACTATGTTTACTGTGTAAACACCATGCAGACGTATGGTTGAATGTTCTGTCAGGGCTGGCATGGAGACTTTTCTTTTCTTCTCAGTACTGTCACAGGCTCTTACATAATTATTATGATGTGTCATGATACAGACCTTTGTGAGGGTCATTTGGTAAATCTCACAAATAGTTTCTTACATTTTTAACAGCATTAATGGAATAAGTAAATCACAAAATCCAAATAATTTGATAAGCAGTATGCCTGAAATACTAACGGTACGCATCCCCAAGAGTGAATTTTGGTTAAAAATATGGGTAATTTAAGAGTTAGGATTATTATTTGATAGCAAATCTGAAATAAAAACTTTTTTTTATCAAAAGAATCTACTTTGGCTGCAGCCGGTTTAATCTACCTTGTTGCCCGAGAGTTGACAGCTCATCAAAAATCATCAACAGTGTTTCTGTAAGTTGTGCGAAGCCGATGATTTGAATGTTGCTTTTTATAACGGAGTAAAGAGCATGTGTTTTTTGATAAGCGGTCTTTCTCTCAGTCAATAGCGTAAAATCATTTTAGGCCATCGGTGTATGTTATATATTGCAGAGGATAAGGAGTTGCGTTATAAGAGATTAGGTTTGTATTATATTGATAAGAGAGAAGAGTTTGTGTACGTATTTATCTGGTTTTAGGGTTTATGAGGAAGTTGAATTATTAAGCAGGTCTGTGAGTGTCTTTATGGCATTATTGTTTTGCATACATAGCAGGCAAGATGCAGAATTTACAGTATTGTGTATTGATGGTTAGTCAAATATATTTATTAGAGGGTTAAACCAAAACGAGCTGTGATATTGCACCATATAACGCAGAGTTGTCCTTGCAGGGCATGATGGGGGATGGGAGAAACTCTTTCTTTCAGAGAACATGGTTTTTATATTCTTCATAGATTATCATGTTTGGATTTCTGCTCTGGACAAAAACTCTATTAATGCCCCCCCCCCCCCCTGCTCAACATTTTAAATAGATCCTATTTTCATTAGAGTGTTAGAGGTATCAATAAGGAGATAAATGCTGCCTAGAAGTGATGTTTACATTCATACTGCTGATCGTGTTTAATGAGTGACTTCAGTCGTTGTGACGTTTTACAAGCATCTAAGTTAACGTTAAGTTTTTTTCAGGAGCCTAAACTAGTTTATTCTTGACAAAGGCAGCCCATCTGCATATAAATGAAGGCGCTGTGTTGTTTTCCAGTCTGTTTACAACCCAAGCATTGGAAGCGGTTAGTTTAGACTCAGATTTGATCAAAAGAAAATGATGACAGGCTACCATAAACGTCATTGAAGGGAAGTGGGGCGAGCTGAATTCCCTGTAATGAATGACGA